ACAAATTCTTTTGTCTAATGCAAATATCACTACAATAATAACCCTCTCAGGTGACATGACACTACTTTTCTGTGCGCTCCCTGTTAATGTATTCCCACCCAGACGTGAGAATAACTTACGATCCCTTCAAGGCATTCACATGAAGTCTGGGCTATTATTGCATTTATTGTGCTGTGAAAGTATGAGGAAGAAGGCTTAATGTAATCTGCAGATCTTCCATAACCCAAATACCTTATTACGAATTAAATCGTAGAAAGCACGTTAAAAGAAAATCATCGGTCAAACCTAAGCGTGGGATTACGTGCGGTGGATGAATTGCACGCCCTACGCACCATCGATTACGCGCATTAAATTTCATTTCTGCTGTTCATTTTTTCCTTGGAATCGAATGGATTCTCTTTTCCCTTCAATTGGTCCTTTTTATCGGGACGTCTAGTTTGGAATGAAGTGTACAACATCACTGCATAAACCGAAGAGTAATTATCCCGTCTTAACAGAACTTAGGAATGTTGGTAGCGTTTCTCGTGAAAGCCATCTAGCTTTGCATTGTGTCTAACTTTTTTTTCGAGTTAACAATTTTGAGAATAAGTGTTCGCGTCCCTTCAACGCAGTCCGATCTCAGAATTTCCATTCCGTAACGTAGCAAGTCGATCGCTATTGCATGGTAAAAGAGACTGATCTCATTTATCTTCAATCAGTCTCGAAATGCGTGCCTACAGTACATACAAGGGCCTATCCCACCATCTATGGATCCAGTAGTGGTTTGCTACCGTGCGTAGAAATAAATAACTTCAAGGGGCCAAATCTTCCCCAACCTTTGAGATTTGGGGTTTTTTGTGTTCAATCGCTATGCCTCTATCATTTCTTGCTTTATCTGCCTCCAACTTTCAGAATGGGGTTTTATGATGAGGAAGAAACCTTTGGAGAAGTTACTGAAGAAAAACCGACGTGCTCTGAAGANCCCGAAGCGAAACGGAAACGGCTAAATGACTCAGTGCCTCCGAAGGAAGATGTGAGTGCCTGCTCATCTTTCTAGCAAACTTATTATTCATGTAACTATGTTCCTGGGTAGTGGTCATGGTACGACTAGGTACATTAGGCGAAAAATAGAAAACTCTTCAATGTTCGGTTGCAGCATGGTTCCCTTGGCTAAAAATAAGGCGAAAGGTTTTATATAAAATACAAAATTTCTTCTGCCTTTTTCTGAAATTGTAGGGGAGTTTTCCGGTTACAGAATGTTGAATTACTTTACACTTTAGCCAGAAAATCCAACACTTGCGAGTGTTCTAAAAGCTGAGATGGTTGATGACGATGACGAAGAAGAAGAACGGGATCCTGAGGAAAAGGCGGTTGGTACTCTTAACTCGTACCTGCTGCACCTTTTTCATGTTTCATTGGAGCTGTTAAGGCGCGACATGAGGTGCTTCGACGTGTCGGTCTCAAAACGAAGCCAACCAATGCTCTACGTAGATATTTGAAGAAGGTTGTTGCTGGAGTAAGTGTCTTTGCTATCTTCGTCCTTATTTTTAGTGCTTTTTTCTAGTAAATGGTGTGTTTCATTGCAAAAGGCGCAACAAGTTCAGTGAAATTCGCTACAGCTCAGTCAGTAGTTAGTAGTTCCTCACTGGTAGCTTCCCCTTCCCGCTGTTCATTGAAAGTCCTTACTCCGTTTCTCTTATCATTTTCAAGAGCGAACGCTTCACTTTTAACCAGGGGTTGCAGTAAAAGTAGCTACAGCCTTCCAGCTTATCCTATAAGCCCCCATCTGTACTATTATTATACTGTCATTAACAACACTAAGGCAAAAAAAAACGAGATTTGGGGGTGAGGTAGGATCCGTGAAAGCATTGGATCACCCGTGGAAACTGATGATGATGTGTAACTTTGTCAATTAATAAGCACTATTTGGTCACTTACAGTTGCAGAGACGCCACCCTTTTCTTCTCACATTCCTTTGACCGGAATTTGGCTCATTATCATGCCAAGTGTTGCTACTAATAGCTAAACTGTGTAGTAGTTTAAATTGCAAATGTCACAACGAATTCAATGAATTTTGCTTACATTCAGTAGTTAGTAGTATTTCACTGACAGCTTTCCCTTCCCGCTGTCCATTGAATGTCCTTACTCCGCTTCTCTTATTATTTCAAGAGCGAGTGCTTTATTTTTAACCAGATGGTCGCAGCATGTAGTAGCTATATTCGGCTTATCTTATAAGCCCTCATCTGTTACTATGTAGTAGGAAGGAGTAAAAATCTATTGCTCACATTTTATGGTTGCTCACTGTTCCTGTTTCTGGTGTTGTTTTTCTTCATTTCCTGCCAGAAAGGTCCATCTTTATGATATAGTACTTGCATCATCCTTGACTGATTTGGTCCGTGTCCCATTAGTTGCTCCGCCCTAGCATTCAGTGTCGGAGACTCAGATCACAATGGTATGCTCTTTCCCCTAATTCTATTATTTTCGTTACGTTGCTTGGCATATCAGATGTTCTATTCCCTCGTATTTATGATATTTACTGAAAACGCTATATGCTGGAAATGCTACAGCACACATTGTGCTTCGATTACAGGCTGAGCTGAATCCATGGGTTTCTACGGTATACACAGAAAAGGCTCTAAGAAAGAAGCTCCGCTGTTTAGTCGTTGCTATGTTGATCAAAGCATGTAAGAACGAAGGAGTCGAAGAGTGTGGTATGTTTTATTTGACATCCTGCTAGTTTTTCTTTTTTTTTTTTGGAAAACTTGGATATTTTAAGAGTTTGATAAGTCGCATGAAGCTGCCATCAAATTTATTGACCGGCTGAATGAAGAAATAGTTGAATCGCTGAGCATTCTTGGTAATTTCTCATCCGATCTGATACGATGTGCCAGAAGTAATTGCCAGAAAGTAAGTTCAACCTCCTTAACAATTTTTTTTCGGAAGTTAGTGGTTTGTCTTGAATTTTCAATTTCATTTAATATCGTTCAAAAGAGAGCGCAATTGGATTTCTTTTCTTAGAGTGAAAATCAACTTGTTCTGCAATGAAGATGAATAACAGTTCCGTCTACTTTAACTTAATGAGCATGCGGCCCTCTAATGGTAAAACATAACTATTGCTCATTTT